GATTGTGACCGATTCCAAATTTGTCCTCACATAATAATAAGTTTGAATATAGCTTTGAAATCAGCAAAATTCCCTTAAAGATATATTTTTTTATCATAATTTTGTTTAGGCTCTACCTGATATTAGTTGTTTATTCTCGGAATAACCTATGTTTACAATAGTTATTTGTATCATTTATAAATTACAACTGTCAATCATTATTTGTCTTCGTAACGATTTAATACCGAAACCTTAACTACCGAGTTTACGACTCTATTGAAGTCTGACAGTGCACTGGCGTTACTATCGGTCCACTTAAAGTCATAACATTAACGGAAATTTTACTGCACCAGGTGCACGTTTCGACAATTAATGTCTCTTCTTATTCGATTCCAAGAGAGGCGGATGATACCAAAGGAACATTCATACTCATAAGTCAAAATAAACTAACAACGTCATGGCAAAAAAAAGGCGTAAAACGGTCAAAATAAACTAACAACGTCATGGCAAAAAAAAGGCGTAAAACGGTCAAAATAAACTAACAACGTCATGGCAAAAAAAAGGCGTAAAACGATCAAAAGACAAACAACAGTCTACAAAACACAACACAGAAAACTAAAGACTGAGTAACACGAACCCAACCAAAAAACGGTGATTATTCCAGGTGATCCAGAAGGGTAACCAGATCCGGTTCCGCATGTGGCACCCGCCGTGTTCTTCGTGTAAGTATAAATTCTGGGATAAGTCCAAGTAATGCAAAAATTATAGTTATACTCGCGGCGAATTAATCTTTATATATGGGTTTGAAAGTGTTTATCGTCTACTCTTAAAGTCCGTATGCGGACCTCTGAATTTGTATATTGTGTTGTTGATGTTAAAATTATTCCCACATATCATTTTTATTTTCATTTTAAGATAATTTAAAGGAACTTATTTTACTTAGGAAATGGGGTATGGACAACGAATTACGGTTGATATAAGATTAGGTTAAACACGTATTTTAAGGCCTAATATCTAAAATGAACGATACCAAATGAGTCATTACTACAGGAAAATCTGTCTGTTCGCGTGAGAAGACATAGTGATCATTATCACATTTTTGTCACCCTTATTAAATATAATTTTGTTTTTTAACCTATGTTGAGGATCAGTAAATTAGAAAAGAATAGATTTGATCAAATTGTTGGCTTTTCTACACCATTTTCACGGCTTTATATTGAGAAGTGAGAGGAACATAGATAGCATTACAAGGGGTGGGATTTATGTATAATTTGCCTTCTTTAGAAACGCAAATTTAAAGAAGACGGTCTTTAAAATATTTTCTTGTCACTTCTCATCTTTGTTGGGGATCTCTTTCCACTCAACAAATAACAATGAATTATAAATAATTAACCTAATTAACATTCAAAGAGGATGCAATCATTCCCCACGGTGAATCATCGGTCAATTATTTCTCGGTTGCAAATCTTTGATAATAATATAATATTATGATGTCACCATTCCCGACAAGGCTCATTATAAAAAAGGAGATGTGGTATGATTGCCAATGAGACGACTATCCACCAAAGAGCAAATGAAGTGGATGTAAGCAATTATAGTCAATCGTACGGCCTTCAACAATGAGAAAAACCCATACCATATATAGTGGGCTATAAATATATAAATTTCAGAATAACAACATTCTGAAGAAACCAAATTGTAGAATCCTGATCTACATAGAAAATATTTTACTTGATTGACAGAACAAGTAGCCATTTATATCGACTGCAGGAACGCTAACAACACCACAAAAAATAAAATACAAATATTTAAAAATATGCGATATCAAACGAATCAAATATAAAAAGAAAATAATTGGCACAACCAGAAAAGCCATTTATATCGACACAAGGAACGACAACAAACAAGTTAGATTAAATAAAAATATATAAAAATATGCGATATCAAACATAATAATATTTTCTAACATTCAATTTTAGTGTGTTTTTTTTTTTCTTTTTTCCCCCGTATGTTTATTTTAGTGATTATTTGTTTGTCCATTTTCGTTTTTTTTTTGCGTGGTTTGTTTGTTATCAATTCTTCCTCGTCGATAATCAACGATGACGTAAGTTTTCCTATCCTACGTATCTTACGCACACCCGACCTTTTACTTGTACCACAGACATTGTTGTCCTCCTTCGTCTTGTCAGTTTGTGATTTTCGATGCATGGGTCGATATAGCACTTTGATTAAACTTCTGTATAAATATTATTATTTTCGCTATTATAATTTATGGTTCTACATACTATAGACTCGTGACTTTTCTATTGATAGGATTAGAAGAAACTGGTGCATGCGTATACGTCATTGACACATTTACAAACAACACAAACAAAAAGATTTATTATACTTCACGTTAAAATGCCAAATTTTGATTGGCTAATACGAGGGAGGCAATTTACTCTACCCCATGGCTGAGCCGGCGGGAGACTATTTTTTGAATGTCGCCCCTCGTGCAGTCAAATCAAAAATCGGTAATTTAAAGGACAATAAATTGAATTTACATCAAATAATTAAAGACAATGCTCAAGTTCTACGTTTTGGTTCAGAATTTTTTTTATAGACTGTCAAAATAAAAAAAAAAAACATCTTGCTTCACTTCTGTTGAGTTTTCTAATATCTGTAACGTTGTAATGTACATGACGTCATAGTTAAACATTTTAAAAATTCAACAGTAAAATACAATAATGGTAGGACATTTAGTATAATAAATTAAATAACACATAGCTGAGAGGGTGATAGAGCAGATTGGTACCCCTCGAAAAAACATTCTCAACCTTGGCTTCGCCTCAGTTGACGATGTTTTCTCGGGGTGACAATCTGCTCTATCACCCCCTCAGGTATGTGTTATTTATATAGTGTCTTTACCTGCATGACAAAGTTTTACTTTTTCGTTGAATATATAAAATTTAAAAGGAAACGATGTTTTATCTCTTAAAAGCTACTACAGATTAGATAGCATCAAATTTTGTACATTTTTTTTTTATAGAAGTAGGAATGGTAATTTTTAGTTGAATCTTCATTTCAGATTTGTTGCATTGGAACCGCTTTTAAAACTTTATTAATCTGCATTTGGAAATAATGCAAAGTGCAAAAATCGGCGCGGATAAAGATGTATATATACACTTATATACCGCTTTTCTGTAGAGATAAAAAAAAAAAGAAGAGGGCCTGGATACTGCTAACAGAATATTAAATAATGGACAAAACTTTCTGAATAAAGAATAGAGGAAAATTAGAAAGAAAAATAAATAGAGAATAATGGGGTATAAATATATAAAGAAACATGGTCGAAACAGGTAATGAATAAATATGGAGGACCGCCCATCCACACTCTAATAAATCATCATCAGGATAGCTCGGTACAGTTCATTAGCTTAAACTATATCAATAGATGGTTATCTATATAATATGGTAAACAATTGAAACAGCACAAAATTTCCAGTGCCAGCTTTGACTGAGAGAACAAGAACCTTATTTATTATAATTACCAATGATTTACTAATTTTTGACCTCCAGAATTTAGCCTCGCTGACTTCTACAGACCCTGTTCAGTATGACCAGAGTTTTTTTTAAAGAAAAATAAATATTATCTCTGAATAAACTATATATATTTATGGTGGTCTGTTTTACAGAAGTTTTGAAGTTTTAAAAATTAGAGAAGATGAAAAGAGAGATAGCAACCCAACAATATATGTTTACGGAGCTAAAACTGCTTTGGTCAACCGTGCCATAGTTTTTTGTTTGTAGAAATTTCAAAACAAACAATGTATTAACTAGAGGACAGTGCCAAGTCACTGTTAAGAGGGCTTAATATTTTCTTTGGGAGTCACAAGTCAGTCGTAGTAAATATGTGTAAAATACCGGCTTTTGAGATTTGCCTTTAGACCAAATGTCATCAAGAACGCTCCTGAAAATCCAAATTTTATGGATATCAATATCGAAATTTATATCTATAGTTGTTTGTAAAAATCTTATAGCAATGCTGGTACCAAAGCACAGATTGTTATTATTGTTTTCACGTGTCCTCTCAGTATTCTATTGACTTCATTTTGTTTTTACAGTTAAGCAAATGTTTGTAGTAATAGGTTGTAGACTTTGGTGAACTCCAGACACTTTAATTGAGATAGATAATGCAACTTTCATATAAAGCTAATCGTACTTTACTAAGTCTTTAATCCATATTGAATGGCAAAGTGAAATGGCAAAAATTTCAGCTTCATATAAAGTGCAATTTAACGTCACATGATGTTCGCATAGTTACCGGCATGACCATATACTTGATCTTTTTTTCAAATCAAGCTTTAAATTATCTTCATTTTAAAACAACTTAATTACGCCTGAAACTTCAGATCTTTCTAGAATATTATTTCGTGTTTTTGCTGACTTTTGCATAATCGTTCCTTAAGAGCCGCTTGTAACATTTCTTTACTGAAGTAGGCACTTCACTGTGCAGACACTGGGGATCACTGATTGAAATTTTTGTTTTTTGTTTTTTGTTTTTTGTTGTTTTTTTTTGCAGCAGCAGCAGCAACCCTGTTTTGCTTTGCATCTCCAAATGTGGAATATTAAAATTTTGAATTAATCTAGTACTGAGATTTTCACTGTAAATTAAAAAGATGTATAGAATTATTTCCCGTGCTTTTTTTTTCTTCGATGATTAGATTATTATATTATAAATGTACCTGCAGATAATATTGCAGTTATAATTGTCAATAAAGATCAATATTGCAATCTATCGTAGCGGTTAAGTACCTTCTCGTACCTTGTTACACCTTTTAACTGATTATCTATAAACCTAAGCACTTCTATAATTTACTTTCCATGGTTCATGTCAAAATTAGAACATCTTATCAAAATATACATATATATTTGAAAATAAAATGCTTAAAAGCGACAAAATTTATTATTTTCGGTTTACTGACTAAGTTGTTTACTCTTACTGTCCAAATGTGTCCTATTTTCTGGACTGAGCATGCGCGTTAGTATCTAGATCTATTTGTTCAGTACTAAAACCTCAGGTCGGATTACAGTTTACAGATGAATTGGTTTTCTTTCTCAATATTTGGATGTCTTAATCATTAATATAAAAATCTAATGAACGTTACTAATAATGATTCAACATACGGAAAGACTTGATTTAGATATTTCGGCTCAAAATTCCTTATCGAATGGAGAAAATGGTGTCGAATCTGCCTCTACTAACGGGCCTCTCGACGTTGAAGGTAAGCAGGAATACAAATATTTGCGGCATCCTTATATGTTTGAATTTTAAGTTCAATTATTATTTATTTCTGTTAAATAATGGTTTTGGTATAAACATTTTGCTGTTCTATGAGTTGTCATTCAATTTTATTGGTTTTAAAACAGTTTTATCAGCGTCCAAATGTTCGCCGGCATAGATAAGTTTGACATGCGGTTTTCCGCGAGGTCCGCAGAGGGTTAAATCAGCTGATTGAAATTTTCTTTCGGAATTAGCATGACACATATGCAGATGTCATTTTTATATAAAATTATTACCACATGCTTTTTCTATTGAAGTATAAACATTTCATATAAAAAAAATGTGTTAAATAAAATTTAGATAAAATTTTGTTTATATCCAATTAAAATTTTTAGAAAAGATGAACATGCAAAATATTCAAACACAGAAAGATTCTGAAAGAATTGTTAGGTGCTAATTTTTGAAATTTGTTTATATTTAGCTTTCAAAGATAGTTATGTGGAATCTTTGATTCTTTTTCTTAATATTAGTGTTTGTTAAAATAATTGTATTTGTCGTTCATGGTTTAAGAACATGAGTATATTATTTCTGACATCTTTTGATCAGTTGATATGGCCAATATAACAAATTTTGACATTTTTAACAGTCGGAAAGGTATTTCATTTACAGATTGCGGCATTGACGGTCACTAAGTTGTTTTATTTGTTTTGTTATAGATTTAATATAGCCCTTTATCACTGAATTGATCACTATTCCGATTATACATTTTCAAACCAACCTTTAAATAAATCTTACGTATCATTCTTTTTTATTTGAATTACTTCCTTTCAAAACAGGTCTATTGAAATGTTGGCATATTGGTATTATACAATTTTGAATTATTTCCCTTGTGTTGAACTCTCATAAATTGAAGGTGCCCTAATTATGCACTAAAATGGATGCTGTCATTATTTTTATGAGATGAAAATTTCAATATTTCATCAAAATGGACGAAACAGAGGAGCCAGTTAATTTGAAAAGTTAGTGGAAACGATACAGAATTTCTTTTACAACTGCCTTAATCGTAGATAACCTTTCCGTGAAACCCCAATGGGCTGTTTACACAAAGTAGTTCAGAGGTCGTGCCCTGCTGTTGGTTGTTCGAGAGTACAATAACCCCGATAAAATAAATATTTAAACTTTCAACAAGTATTCAATTATGTGTTTTCCGTGGTTTTAATTAAATTCTTTTCATAACTCACTATTGGCCAGTACGGAAAATATTATTCTTTCACTGTTCATAAGCTGATAAGTCATTTCTGCACCAAGTTGAATTTTAAAGTGCAGAGTAATAAAAGCTGCCACTAAAATTATAGAAAGGATATATAAACATGGCATTTTAAGAGATGATTGTAAATTATGGGCAAGTTTAAAAAAAAAGTTGGGACCACTTAATTACCCAAACATGCAATGATAAAATTGAGAATGGAAATGGGGAATGTGTCAAAGAGACAACAACCCGACCATAGAACAGACAACAGCAGAAGGTCACCAACAGGTCTTCAATGCAGCGAGAAATTCCCGCACCCGGAGGTGTCCTTCAGCTGGCCCCTAAACAAATATATATACTAGTTCAGTGATAATGAACGCCATACTAAACTCCAAATTGTACACAAGAAACTAAAATTAAAAATAATACGAAGACTAACAAAGGCAAGAGGCTCCTGACTTGGGACAGGCGCAAAAATGCGGCAGGGTTAAACATGTTTATGAGATCTCAACCCTCCCATTTAGGATATTAAATATGGCAGAGGTGCAGACAATTGTGGAACCTAATGAGCACAAGTGTTTGAAGGTATGGCCAAATCAGTGTCAGACCTAGGGTGGGTGAATATTTTGACCACCTTGGGCATGTTGGGCTATACTGTAGTAAACAAAAATGTGTGCCAGTCTTCAGTACTTCTGGTTAATCTCTCAAGAAAAACACATGAATATTTGAAAAATTCCCCTAGAACAGCTTATTTGGTTTTCTGAAAGGAGAAAAAAAAATAATTTTGTAACAGCGTTCCAGCTAGCGATTTCTCTGCTGCCCTTTTTAAAGATTTAATTTAATGATGGCTCTCTGACACCTTTTCATGGACTATCTTTCTCTTTTTACAACAACAAAAAAATTGACCATCAATTTACTTCCAGCTTGGAATTATAATTAATGAGACAACCAAAATTAATTTGGACAGAACACATAATAAATGGAAAAGCTTTTCAGCTTGAGTATCAGACATACATACTGTTTATCAACTTCCTTTGCCTCAAGTATGAAGATAATGTATGATATGCATTTAAACTGCTGGTACATTGTACTTATGATTCATGAAGAGTTACAAACAAATGTATATAATTACTCCCCTTGTATTATATTTCCAGGATTTTTTTTTTATGAAAATAATAAATTTATTGAACATGTTAAAGAAAACTGAGAGAATCTTGCTCTAATCATTTTATTTTTTCTATACATTGATCAAATTAATATAGTTCAGTACTTGTTTGTTATCTTTAGATATAAGAAGATGTGGTATGAGTGCCAATGAGACAACTCTCCATCCAAGTCACAATTTGTAAAAGTAAACCATTATATAGGTCAAAGTACGGCCTTCAACACAGAGCCTTGGCTCACTACGAACAGCAAGCTATGAAGGGCCCCAAGAATTACTAGTGTAAAACCATTCAAACAGGAAAACCAAAGGTCTAATCTATACAAAAAGCGAGAAACGAAAAACACTCGTGAACCACATCAACAAACGACAACCATTGAACAACAAGTTCCTGATTTAGGACAGGTGCAAACAAATGCTCATTATGGGTTTCTGCAGGGCTTTAAATGGACATTTTGCACATATGTAATATCTTTTCTTCAAACATGTCAAAGGAGAAATTCAAATATTTTCCTAATTATCAACAACGTTTTAAGTGAATATCATTTCCATACAAAGGGTAATAATAATATGGAGATTGTCTTATGTTAAGGGTGCTTGGCAATGACTGGAAGCCTAAATAGTTATTTTTTATATAACTCCTAATGTTTAGCCATCACATCTACTGTACTGTCCTGTACATGCATTAAGTAATTTCTACTAGATGACCAATTGCAGTCCCCTTTGAATCTATGACCACTGAAAATGTGAGTGTGATTGTTATACTGAGATAAACATTTTTATTTCTAGCTTCATCCTCTGGTAATGACATGCAGTACTCTGGTGACTTGAAATTTGGTTGGGATGAGCTCTGTCCAGTCTGTGGTGATAAGGTCTCTGGATACCACTATGGTCTACTAACATGTGAAAGCTGTAAAGGTAAATATAATACTGACAGACTTACAGGTCGTATTTTTCTTTGAGTTTATTGATTGAATAAGATAATATATTTTAGTACATGTAAATGACCTAAACTGTACTGGTAAAATTGTTCATCAATATACACCTACATTTTGTAGTGACAAGAATTAAATCTCTCAATTTGTTTTTAATTGAGCAAAACCTTTGATATTCCCATACTAAGAAGAGAAAACCTATTAACATGTAGGTACTCTTGAGCAAAATATATTTTAAGCTTATATTACCGTAGAAAGGCTTGTATAGTCCGCGGTTTTATTCTCCAAAAGTGGACCTTCCATACGGGGTGCGGACTATAGAGTACAATAAGCAAGAAATAAGAGAAAAATTTCAATTTCACGGGCGAGGTGGTTTGTTTACTTTCCGCCATCTTTGTTATTTATATTGTAGAGGGCGCTCTTATCATTTTTCAAACTAATAATTTTAACTCATCCTTATTAATAAGTTATTTCTATTCAATATCAAATTAATACTGATAAATATAAAAACTAAACCTTTCATTACAAATTTCTCGTTTCTTTTCAAATCATTGGTTGAAATAAACTGGTATCTGCTTGATTGAAACGATACAAACATAGTGAAAAAGACAACCGTAAACCAGCTTAGAATTTGTAAACTACAAAACGTAATCGGTTATTGTTCGTTCCGTTTTGGTGTTTCATACTGACTAATATGGTTTGTATTAGCTTAAGACCCTTCAAACATTAATGTGATAGATCTATTAAAGATTTTTTTACAAAAGGATGGAACTGTTTTACTTTCAAAGTCGTATTATAGTGATATCTGTTATGTACGGATTTCGACTCTCACCGGTTAATTTCTTCTTTTACACGTGCTTTTTAAACTTCCTGTTTAAACATACACAAGTTTCTAAATTGTTTTTTAAGTGAATTAAACTTATTTTAACAATCATGAAGCATTCTAGAATCATTTACAAGCAGTTTCAGCTTCTGTTTGATGATGGAAAACAGGTTTTTCCAAGAAAATACCGCAAACGACCGCACAGGATTTGAAATTACCGGAGTTTCATTAGACCTTTTCTAACAGTTACAAAAAGTTTTTTTACCTAAAATTTCGTGGGGAGAAGGGGGTGCGGACTATGTACCAGTGCGAACTATACAATCCTTTCTACGGTACTTGTAAAGATCATTTATAAATAAAATATTGTCATCATAAAGCAGATCCAGATAAGGATGTTTTATGACGAACCCTTGATACCAGTTATTCTCAATTTCTGTTACCATGGTTACCATGGTTATATTATCCAGGACAATGAAAGCAACACTATCATGACTATACACTGCATGCAATTTAAGATTTAACACAAACTTTTTCAGTTATTGTACAAAACATTCACATATAAAAATGAAAAAAAATGTTAAAATGGGAATTTGCCAAAACAAACAAAAATCCTAACTAAACTTGTCTCAATGCTGTTCATTTATTTACTTATAAACTTTAACAATTTTCAGGTTTCTTTAAACGAACAGTTCAAAATAAAAAGGTGTACTCTTGTGTGGATAATAGATCATGTCTAATCGACAAAGCACAGAGAAAGAGATGTCCTTTTTGTCGATTTCAAAAATGTTTGAATGTTGGTATGAAACTAGAAGGTAAGTTTTGATCGTTAGATGATAAATAATTACATCAGTTACATGTGAAAAATTAAATGCTTATGCACTATAAATTTTTTTTAATTAAATAAGTTTTTTATATATGTTGTGTATTCAAAAGTAAACAGACTTTAGACGGGGACAAAGAAAATTGAATGTAAAAACAAATTAAGAAGACTTTCACAAAGTAAAAATATTTCATAGTTCTTATTACATACACAGAACAATTGAATTGATAGGTTTAGCGACTGACCCAAACAATCACAGTTTTTAATGTTTTTTTTTATATAATTATTGACTTCCTGAAGTTATTTTTCGTAGCTATTGTATATAAAATTGAAAATATTTTTTTAGCTGTAAGGGCAGACAGGATGAGAGGTGGAAGGAACAAATTTGGCCCAATGTATAAACGAGACAGAGCACTGAAGCAACAAGCAGTTAGACAACAGCAACAGATGCTGGCACAATGCCAAATACGACTACAGAATGGGATGACAAGTCCGGATGAGGATATTAAACCAGACCCAGCAATGTTACAGCATATTTCACAGATGGTCTCAAATAGCATGGGATACAACAGCTCAAACATGTCAGGCATGCCATCACCTTCCATGCCTGATTCTCCTAATTCTGACATCAGTTGTGTGTCGTCCTCCCAGCCGTCACCCATTACGTCACACCCACAATCGCCATACACCATGACCCAGAACTTCCATCCACCTTCGATGATGCACGACCCCAGGAACCATTACTCCATGCCATCATATCAATATCATCACCAGATGGCACCACCAGTTATACCAATTGTGCCTCAGACAATTATAAATATGAAAGCAAATATGACTGATGAAATGGAAATCAAACACAAACTATTATCATTTCTTCATAATGCATTTGGTGCTGAAGATATTCTTAGTCAGCCAATCAAATTATTACAGATGATTTGTAAACTGTCAGATCAGCTACTATTTCTAATGGTGGAGTGGGCCAGGACTTCTACTTATTTTAAAGAACTAAAGGTTAGTACATTTAAATCACAGCCATACAGGGATAGAGGTGGGATTGATTTAGGTTCAAATATATGTATATGTTTCTTTAGCTAGATTCCATTGAACAATGTATGTAGCTGTCAAGAATATGTTAACAGATATACAATGTACATGTACTTTTATGCCCCATCTATGATTGTAGAGGGGCATTATGTTTTTCGGTCTGTGTGTCCGTTCGTCCGTCTGTCCTGCTTCAGGTTAAAGTTTTTAGTCAAGGTAGTTTCTGATGAAGTTGAAGTCCAATCAACTTGAAGCTTAGTACACATGTTCCCTATGATATGATCCTTCTAATTTAATGCCAAATTAGAGTTTTGACCCCAATTTCACGGTCCACTGAACATAGAAAATGATAGTGGGAATGGGGCATCAGTATACTATGGACACATTCTTGTTAAAACAAATATAATAAAGTTGATAATCATGATAATCAGCTATAATTGTTGTATTATGTACATGTATAAGGAATCAGATCAAGCCTTAAACTGATTACTTCTTTGTAATGAGTGCATATTTGATAAAAAGAATTTAAGTCACATTGCAATAAACAAAATGAAATGTACTGGATGCCGTCTTTCCTTTTAATGTAAGAAGACACTTTAGAACGTTACTACATGTATTTGCAAAGAAGAAGAAGATATACATGATATATAAACATTCTATTTATCTGTGAGTCCCATGTGGATTTTACAGGTGGCTAATGTGAGTTACACTTAAAGAACTGTAGTAGATAGCCCTTAATTAAGTACATGTACACACAACTGTCAAGTTTAAAAGTGCTTAATGCTATAAAATAATAATTTATTAAAAACAAATTTATAAAATGTAACAGTACATGTATGCTTGACTTGCAAAAACATTAAAGAAATGTGTTTTATGTTATTCAAATACACTATTTATCATATTTATACCAATCTGATTAAACATGATAGAATATATATCATGTGTTCAAGCTTTGCTTACAAGGATCTGACAACACTCTGTTCCACTCTTTTCTGGTATTAAAATTATTACATCAACCAATGAAATTTCAGCCTTCAAATTTTTGAAGGTGTGTATTAATCCCAAAAAAAATAGGAGGATCCCGAAAGTTCTTAAAAACAGAAATTAGAACAAAGTGTTGTTAGATCCTTGTAAGCATGGTAAGCAAGCTTGGACAAAGGATCTGTATTCTAATCAGATTGTATTTATGCTGACTTATTTGCAACAAAATAGACCAAAAATGGAGAAAATAATTATTGATTTTTTGGTTAGAAAATGAAGTGTGGTGCCTTCCATCCTTATTCTTTTGTGACAGTAAGCAGGAAACAGACATATATGTTTTACCCTATATGAAAAGAATATTAGTCACAACACATGCATCTTGTCAGAAAATTCCATCATTCACATGTACAGGGACTACATGTGTACTTAATACTATGTACAAATACATTGTCATAAATTACAATTACATAATATTCATAAGTATAAAAAATATTATAGTTATACAAGTGACTGTACAATGTATTTACTAAATAATTACATAAACACAATGTTGTGCTACATTAAAATGCATGCACACTGGGTGATAAAAAAAATTGTACAAGTAGCTAAGTACATGCATGGGTGAAAGTTCTAATAATATTTCGTAAAGAACTTTAAATGCTCTATGGACTTTTTAATGGAAATGGTTGTTTTTAGAAATTAGAAATACACTTGTCACTGTCATGATTGTAGACAAAATATGCAATGCCATGATAATGGACAAAGACAGGCACCATCAATAAATTATATTTTATGGGGAGTTCAATTTATTGCCACATTTAAGATAAAAAAAATCTTAATCTTGCATTGAAACTTGCATATTTGTAAGAATAAGCAAAATATTTTGTTAAGTTTTTTTTTGCATATACGTGTACATATATGTGTACAAATGATGCATTGGTATGATTGCACACACTCTGTATTAACTCTATTCTATATAGCTGTACGTAAAAAATAGTAACATGTATATAGCTGTCCCTTGATTTAAGTCTTGTCTCTAAGCAAAACAAAAAGTTTTAAAAAAAAAATACCATGAATATAAGAAAAAGAATAAATGGCAACCTAGCAAATCATAACAAAGCAAAACAAATGAACAAGTAGATATCTTCATTTGATATTTTATGCTAAACAGGATCCAATAAACCAATTGTTGTCTCGCCTTGACAGAGTCAAAAAGCGAGACTTAGGTATGCTTTTTCCGGCGGCGGCATCAATAATGTTTGTGATTAGGTCTAGTTTATAGTGAAGTTAAGTGAACCACTAGTGGTAGGTCAATGATATTTGGTATGTAGCTGTATTAGCATCAGCACATCTCATTACCATGGAGATTATATGGCCCTACCCCCTCAGTTATGGTCTATTGACTTTGAAACTTTGCTGAGTTTACATGTATTAGTTTGTGATTAGGTCAGTTTATGGGAAACCACTAGTGGTAGGTCATTGATATATGGTATGCAGTTGTATAAGCATTGGCATATCTCATTTCCATGGAGAATATATGGCTCCTCTCGCTTAGTAATGGTCTATTGACTTTGAAACTTTTGCTTTGTTTACGACATGTATTAGTTTGTGATTAGATCAGTTTAAAATGAACTGCTAGTGTTAAGTCTATGATATTTAGTATGCATGTTCGTGGGTTTATGTACAAATGTCTGTTGTTGACAGTTTGTCTCCTTTGAAATAACAGTTAGAAGCAGAAACTGTAATGTTTGTGATCTCTTAGCTATATATAAGCAATATACAATGTAGGAACAAAACTGTAGTAGCCAGTAACTAGGCAGAACACTCCGTTTATTGTTATTTCTGTATATTTTTAGGTTGAAGACCAAATGAAACTATTACAGAACAGTTGGAGTGAGATTTTAATATTAGACTTTGTACATAGACTTGCTCATGATACATGGAGTGGGGAGGTATTAATGGTAAGTTGGTATCAACTTATTCTGGAAACTTATTTTCCAAATGAATTTTTAGCTTTCCTTATGTGCATTTTAATGACATAAACAGATTTATGTTGTTAGAAGACTTTCTATAATAGTTTAGACTAAATGAGGCAATTTAAGTTAATGAAAAGTTAACATTTAAAAATGTAAACACAGTTACTATGGTTACAATCATAAAGTTTTCTTAAAGTTTTCTAAAGCTCATGTATATTGTTCACAGTATATATGTGTTACGTCTCTAAATAAAAGAGATGGAATTAGTATTTCAAAACTTTTTATAGAATCATGTAAATAAAGTTTTTAAGAGGCAAATCTCATCAATCCATTAAAAAAGATGCAAATGAAAGTAAAATTCAAAAACAAAAACTTATGGAATCCCATAAACCCCAAGAGAAGCAAGACCGATTGCATCAACAGAGTAAACCATGGCTTTATGAACAGGAACCAATTTAACATCCATGCCGCAATGATACAAAAATTTAATTCCCTGATACAAAATTGTCTTTATTATGTATATTAGGGAAATGGTCAGTGACTTAATATAGATTGATTATTTCTATTTTAGGGAAATGGTCAGCGACTAAATATAGATTGTTTAGATAAACTAGGATTATCAGACTGTAAAGATAGGATTAGAGACATGGTACGAAAAATGAGAGAACTGAAAATTGACGTCAACGAATATCTTTGTCTGAAATACCTGATTCTTCTTAATCCAGGTTAGTCGACCAGTTGACATTCTTTATACTGTAAAATCTTATTTAATTTATTATCTTTATGGACTTAAAGTTTTCAACGAACGAAATGAAAAACACAAGAAATACATATAGGACAAAATACAAACAGTACCTCTTTTTATGAGGATATCTTTAAAAAAGTTTAACCAACATATCAGTTTTTGCAACTGCTCAATTGTTTTATCAAAACATGTAAGATAATTGATCAAACCAAGTTAAGCATTGTCACAATTCTCATTCAAAAATTGAAATTTGGGACCAATACCTAAAGAACAAAATGTTGAGGTGCCCAACCCTGCTTCCCATACATTTTTTCATGAAATAGCTCAACACATTTTTGTATGTATTTTTTCACATAATTTATATATATATATATATCTATAAGGATATTTGCATTTATCATGTTAAAGATGTTTCCTTGAGTGAAAGAAAGAATTACAGAATTGAAAAGTAAAATTTGATGAATAATTTATTTTAGATGTCCCTGGGCTTGAAAACAGACAACATGTGGAGCAGTGTCAAGAAAATATAAATGCAGCATTAATGGAATACTGTATTAACTTTTATCCAAGTTTAAAAGACAAATTTGGCCAAGTGCTACTACGGCTACCAGAAGTTAGGGTTATAAGTATTCGAGCAGAAGAATTTCTTTACTACAAGCATTTAAACAATGAAATTCCGGACCAGACTCTTTTAATAGAAATGCTCCATTCTAAGAAAAAATAGTGATATTTATATATAAACTAGATTTGACTTGTGCCATAGACAGGTGACTCCCGCTCCTTTGTAAAATCAGAATATTGGTACCATGGAAATGGTAAGAAGCTCCAGGCAGCGATATATAATGATCAGAGAATGAAAGGTGTACTACTGGTTTGTACGGATGTTGACCTCAGAATGAAATCTTTGCAATATTCATCTTAATCATCTGTGTTTTCTGAAGTTCGAGCCTATTTAATATTCATGGCAAGTAATCTGAGAGCGATACAGGAGCTTTTTAATAATAAACAGGGATAAGGGCTAGATTTTAGTTCAAATAGATTAAGCATTATTGTGAACTATTTACATATTTTCCAGTTTAAAAAGGTTATAGTTGTCCTGAATTTGTCTGAAAACTTTGTGTTCAGTCTGAATTGTGAATTCTTTTCTTTTTATATTGGTGTATATCAATCTTTCCGTATAGTTATCACATGAAGTTTTTATACTGTTTCATGGTTTCCTCATACAGATCAGCTCAGGTTTTGACTTTTGATTTGACCTTGGTCAGAAAATGTTATATTTTTGTGAGAATAGTGAATTAGACAAGTCAAAAGACAAATAATGTTTCCATTATTCATATATATACTGTTTATGATATATATGTATATTTTGTTATTGACATGCATTTATGCATAAGATATTTCTTGCAAATGCATACAAATGGAATGAATATTCAGGGATGTAAATTTCCTTTTGTTAGTCACAAGCTTTCAAAATTGTATATTCCCCCTCCTGAGAAGTGGTTATTAAAATCAAATATTATACTTGTCATTACATTTCAGATAATGCATTTTGTTGTGGTCTACCTCTTGTAATAACAGCTAATTAGGATGTTTTTTTTTCTAAAACTACAAAAAATTTAATGCAATCTGAATTCTTTTTACACAACTAAGACGAAAATTTTTATCAATATCAATTTTGGTTTTATTTTGACAATTATAAACAAAACACACATTAAAGGTTCTTATATGACTGGTTATTAACATTTTCAGCTAAATACCACTATGGTGATATTTTGTTTGTCGTTCTGGTGAATTCTTCACACATTTTGTCCTTTTGGGGTCATTTATTAAAAGTCCTTTCAAAGAGATTTTATGTATAACTTTTGTTTCCTGTTTTTCTTGATTTCCCAGATGTTTGTTATTGGAAATTATACTTGTTAATGATCATGATGATGTTATATCTTTCATTTTCTTTTTTTTAGAACTAACGTGATTAATTTGGATATTTCTAAATATCAAGTCAACATTGACATTATCTTTTTTTTTTTTTTTTTTTTTCATTGACATTATCTTGAATGCTAATTTCACACATGTCACTCAAATGAGAGAAGAAGTCACGATGTAAACAAAGTAATAATTCTAAAAATAGAGACAACTGACTTCATATACTGTGGATTCATGCTTTTCATATGTTAATGATTTTCCACCTTCCGTTTACCTTTTTTTTTTAGAAATAACGCGATTGATTTGGATATTTATAAATATCAAGTCAACTTTGACATTATCTTAAAGTACACTTTCACACGTATCACTCAAATGTGAGAAGAAATCATGAAGTAAACAAAGTTATTATCCTAGAAATAGAGACATTTTGCTACTGAAGATTGAAGAAGAAAAAAAAAAATTGTGGATTTGCCAAAGTTTACTTCATACAAGCCCTATAGGAAATTAATACTTCATTGAGAATTTAAATTCTTGGTTCATCTTTACTAATGAAATCCTTGAAAATTAAAACCCTATAAATAACACTGGCTCCACTGTAGTACAGAATGTCACCAATCCTATCCTGTTGATCACTGTAAATTCATTTGATCAAAGGCTCAGCTTACTCTTGAAAGTTACATTCTATTGGTCAGATTTTATTTGGAAAAATAAGAAAAGGCAACGCATTCACTTAAAACCGTCATAAGTAAGAATAAGTTATTTCTTTGGCATTCAATCTTTTTTCATTTTTTAATGCAAAATTTTTGCTCAACTATGATTTTTTTATGTGCAACAACAATTTACGATAATAAAACATCTAATATTGATTTTTTATATTATTATGCACATGTCAATTGTACAAATGTAAATGTTCCCTTGACTTACTGACGATGACTTAATATGTAAATGACAATATATGTACTGTCCATGTGTTTCAGTATTAACATTGTTCAAGGTTGGGACCGAAATTTTGAAGGAAAGGTGTATCTGAATACAAAAATACTACTGAAAATATATAAAAGAAAAGTAAAGGAATAGATCTCTGATTTGAAGCAGTATTATTTTAAAATACCAAGTCTAGTGGACTTTTCATAATAAAATGCGTTGATATTATTTCTTAAATTCTTTGAATTGATAAAGTTTCTATATAGATATTATATTTCATCATCGTTTTGAAATTGAAAGCAAGCAATACCTACCATTGTCTTAGGACATAATTATATAATCATTGAAGAAATAGTATTAATTCGTGATGGATTAAACAATATCTTTAATTTTATTTCTTCCTGTGAATAACATATATCTTAAAAAATTCTAAACCATTTTCAGATTTACTATGCTGATATATAATTTCTTTCAGTTCTTTGATTCTAAATTAAATCTACAATTGATTGAAATATTCTTTTGTGGCCTTTTGACTCTCTTTTTCCTCTTTTTGTTATTCATAAGAGGTCCACATAAACATTTTTATTCCATTTTTTTTATGGGAATATTTTATATTGCATGTGGAGAAAGTGACTAACTATATGTAGGTAGCAAATATCTTAATTGTCCATAGAAACGAAAAAATTTGTAACAGTAAATACTTAATAGTATTAAGATGTAAATAAAAAATTAAAAAAAAAGAAACAAATATAAAGTGACCCATCAGTAACAATGTTAAAGGCAAGACTTAATGACAGATTAACTTGTTTACATGGTCGAGCCATGCTAATCGATAGTATTTTATTTGATGAATATCATGTAAACAAGGTCATATGTTAATTTATTTTACTTTTTGAGTAGTTTATTTTTAAGCAGCATCAGTTATTCAAAGTCGGGCAAGTAAAAGAAATCTTAACTTTCTCTTTTTAAGAAGACTCTTCTTTCTTCTGAAAATCTGTACCTATTATTAAAATTGCTTGTTACATACATAAGTGCTGTTTTATTCTCTTTTTTGCAATTTGATAAATATACCCATGTTATGAAATAGGGCAGCAATTTGTATTGCAAAATTATATGGGATGTTTTTCAGACAATCTTGGTGATTTACTCTCTGATGAACATGGAAAAGTGCTACAAATTTTGTTATTGCATCACAAATGTTATATTTTTAAGAGATATTTTTAATTTGTTCTATTGTTAATTATTTCTAAGAAAAGTGCTTTTTATCTTAGATTTTTATTTTTAGATAGCATTTTAGCTTCTTTTAAACTAATACAGAATAAGTACTAAAATCATGTTTATGGATTTTCCTGTGTTAATGATATTTATGATATATATTTTTGTGGATTTATTGCATTTCCTTGCTAATAAGGAATAATTGCATATACATTCATTTTCAACACTATATTAAAATTTACATCATGAAACTTTAGAATTTCTCTTTGTGATAATATAATAATGATTATAAAAAAAATCTTGAAAATTGTGATCCTTTAAAATGAATTCACACACAGGTTTTTAATTCTTGGGCCAATAAGCTGATTGCAGATGCATAGAGGAGGATGAAAATCATTTATTTCTCTAATATGCTGCTGTCTTTGTATAATTTATGTTATTTATAATCAGAAAGTGCTTATTGTTTATTTATTATTCACTTGTGATCTCATACCTTCATAAATTGTGAAAAAGTGAATTTATATCAGACCTTTCCATCTGCTATGATCAATTGTATTTATATTTCATTTCACAAATAATAACGATTCTGTGTGAAAGGAAACACAAGGACAAGTGACATCACATTAAAACTTTCACAAATATAGTATTGCAGTGTATATATATATCATTGTGAAACCCCTCATAATAATTTTTTGACAGTACACAAGGGCATAAAATTTGTGCATGTAGCTTTTTGATGAGTTCAATACATCTTTAGACCTGATGAAAATATATTGACTAGGGACTTAAAATGGGAAAAAGTGACAAGAATTAACAAATCACAGCTTTGGAATAATATGACATTAAATAAAAGTTATCGAAATTAAAGCAGGCCATTACACCTAAACTTTATTTTAAGTGAAGCTATTCAGAATAATAAAAAAAAACCAGTCCCATGTTCCGTTTAGACGGATTATTCATTGTTCAAATTAAAAAAAAAAATACAATTGATCATATCAGATGTTTACTCATAGACTTGTTGTGATGTAGATGATGTAAATATTACAGTAACTAGTGCCATGTTTTTATGGGGTCATTCATTACATTTTATATATATGTGTGTGTATGTATTACAATTTCTTGTTATTTTATAAGTATGATTGTTAAGAAGGTTTATGATGTATTTAGACACATCAGGTGTATTTTAGGTGTATTTATTATGAAAGTTTCATTTAAGAGTTCACAAACATTTTCAAGATTATAATGATTTAAGAATTTTTATTACATATTTTTTTTTTGCATCATTTTAAGTCTATTTTAATGTATATTCACACAGATAATTTGATATTATAGTATATGTTTTTGCCATCAACATGATAAAATAGACTTTTTCGAAGAGCATTTTGTTTGATCTCACTTGTTTAAGGATGAAAGAAGAGTTCATTTATGATGTGAAACTGGCAGTCTCTGCAAGGACTACAACCCCATAAAATCTTAATATTCAAAGATCTAAGAAATTTCATCTGTAAAGTTGAAATGATATTTCCTTTCTTAAAAAAACTAGGATATCAAAACCTAGAAAAAAAAATAATTGCAATCATCTTCTAGTCACAAAAAATTTATAATGCAGAAATACAAATTAGCCTTTTAGTTTCAATTTAAAGTTATCAATCGGATCTTAAAATTGTAGTACATATATTTTCTTATGACTAGATCCTTTTGATTAAAAAAATTAATTTGTGCTGTGAAAAAAAAACTCATTCCATTCTTTAAGTTTGTATGTTTAAGCAAAATTGAAAGTTCTTGGCCAAAGGCTCATCTACAAATGTATACAAATGAACAATTGTGATTGATTAAATCAGATAATGTTAATGGTTTTGTTGTAAACAAGGGAGACAACTTGGCTTCATTCATTGAGAATTGTATATTGATAATAATATATATTGTTGATTGTACTTTTGACTGAGTCTTTAACAAGTAGAGAAATATTACTAATGTTTTCAGATGTAGCATTTATAATGTGTACATTCTCTTGTTAGACTTGTTAATCCAGAGACTCTCTGGAGAAATCTAAACAATAAAAGATAAAAATAAAATGTTTTGTTTTCATGAAGAAAAATATATATTGCATCCATTTTGAGAGGCGTATGTAGATGTCTTTATGAAAGAATTGCACCACACACACACAATTCTTCAGAAGTTTAAATACCGTGGATTCATTATCATTTGTTGAGTACCAATTTTCTTTCATTTCTTGAGTATATGTTAACAATGAATTTAAAAGTGCAATAAGGTATAAATTGTTTATAGGCTTTTATACAAACTTTTGTAAAACCAGGAAATCAAATCTCCACGAAAATTCCATTTTTCCTCAATCCACGAAAATTGTTACCTAGGAAAATAAATGTATCCACAGTAGGACGTTTAAGTACCCTCAATGTAAACCCTTTAGTAGCCACTACATGGTCTAGAGCAGGCATTTTGTATTATCATATATCTGCTTATATAACCCATAGACGCTTACTCATTTGCCAGTGTGTTAGCCATTTAGTAAATGAACTTGGCAGTTTGGAATCGTAGTCAAATTCTGTGTTTTCCTGACAGGATTTGCCATAGTCGTTTCTCAGAATGGATATTTAGTACTTGTATGGCTTGTCATTACCTCTTATTGCTTTTGCTGAAAATATGGGGATATCTTTGATCTGGCTTGGTAAATGCATTAAAACTTTACAGCAGGTAGAAAGGAAACAAATGTTAGAATTGTGAAAAAATATGTAATAGAACAGCATTTACTAAAGCTGAGAGAAAATAAAAGGTAAACAAACCGGAAAACCTTTCTAGAACTATTGCTACATATATAAATATTCTGAGCAATCAAATCATTTTGATATTTTAAATTATAAATCAGTCTTTAAGTTTTTGAAAAACCTAAATGATTTGCTGTCTCTACACAAAAGTTAATGAAAAAAAACATGAAATGATATTAAACAAGACAAAACAATGTATTTACAACTTAGGCATACACAATGTGCTTCAAATGGATAACAATTACACATTGACCAAAGCAAGTTAAAGTATGAGCAGTATCAAAATACTAATGTGATTTAAAAAAAATGAGTTATGATTGCCAATGAGAAAACTACCAACATGTGACCACATTTATTCAAGCAACAAAAGTTCACTGCACGGCCTTTAACAATGACCAACACCAATACAATAAAGTACTGGTAAAATATAAAAGGCCCCAATCATACAAAATGTAAAAAAAAAATCAACAAGAAAACAATTGGCCTTATTGGTAATATAACAAAAGGGGAGAAAATAACCAAAACCAACTACCATACACATTTTTTATGACCTTTGGTCATATATGTTTCAGAATGATAAATTTTCAAAAAAAATGTTCCTCTTAAACTTCAAGGCAACATCTTTTCAAACATTCAGTGGATTGAGGGTTGGATAAACCGCAACAAAACTTCGACATTGAATATTGATTGGGTAGCAGACTTAGTGGCAATGGTTCTAATGTTACCAGGCGAAAGATACCAAAGGGACATTCAAACTCAAATGACAGTTAATCTGTCTTTCTGACACTAGTTGGCAATAAATAATGCAAGGAAAGTCCTTTATATTAGAAAAATAATACTTTCGTTCTAAGATTAATAACATGATCACAACAAAATCTTCTCATTCAAAACGAGAAGGCAAAATGTTTTTTTTTTTTCTCAGGAGATTGGTTTTGAAAGACCCCCTACAAACTACTGCCATTAATTCTTAATAGATAAAAAAAAACATGGTGATACTGGTGTCACAAAGTGTCAATAAAACACTTTAGAAGATAATTTTGTCATATTTTCTTTGAAACTGCGCATGCTTTGCTGATTTTAACCAAACAACAGGTATATATATATGGAAAGTCCCTAATGACAAATCCAAATTATGTTCTGATCGGTTGAAATAAAAAACATATCCGCCAGAGGCAATCTTTGATTCTAATTGACCAATTTACGATAATGTTCTCCTCTGAAACTTTGAGCATTGATTATTCGATCACCTTCTACAAACGATAATAATTTAATGTTGATTTGCATACGTCCAGGCCGACTTTTGTGTTGCTAAATCTGTAGTTTTCTGTTTTTATGGACTGCTGCGTGTCCTTTTTTTTTGTCACGGTGAGGTCTGTTTTTCTTTAACTTATGGTTTTTGTTATCCACTTGGTATCATCTCCTCCTTTTTTAGCTCACCGTTCCGAAGGAACTGCGAGCTTTAGCCATCACTTGGCATCCGTCGTCATCTGTCGTCGTCGTCCGTCTGGTGTAAACTATTTCAAACATCTTCTCCTCTGAAACTACTGAACCAATTCCAACCAAACTTAAGCTGAATGATCCTTAGGGTATCTAGAATAAATTTTTGTTTTATTTTCTGTTTCGTCAAAAAACATGGCCGCCATGGCTAAAAATAGAACATAGGGGTAAAATGCAGTTTTTGGCTTATATCTCAAAAACCAAAGGAGTTAGAGCAAATCTAACAATAAGTAAAAGTGTTCATAAGGTAAAGATCTATCAGCCCTGAAATTTTCAGATGAATCTAATAACCCATTGTTGGGTTGCTGCCACTAAATTGGTAATTTTAAGGACATTTTGCAGTTTTTGGTTATTATCTTGAATAGTATTAATGATAAAGATAAACTGTAAACAGCAAATATGTTCAGCAAAGTAAGATCTACAATAAGTTTATATGACCAAAATTGTCAATTGACCCCTTAAAGAGTTATTGCCCTTTGAGGACAATTTTACATGATTTTTTTATCATGTTTACTAACTTTAAAAAATCTTCTCCTCTGAAACCACTGAACCAATTCCAACCAAACTTAAGCTGAATGATCTTTAGGGTATCTAGAATAAAGTTTGTGTTTTATTTTCTGTTTCGTTAAAAACATGGCCACCATGGCTAAAAATAGAACATAGGGGTAAAATGTAGTTTTTGGCTTATATCTAAAAAACCAAAGGAGTTAGAACAAATCTGACAGAGGTTTAAGTGTTCATTAGGTGAAGTTCTATCAGCCCTGAAATTTTCAGATGAATCTAATAATCCATTGTTGGGTTGCTGTCACTAAATTGGTAATTTTAAGGAAATTTTGCAGTTTTTGGTTATTATCTTGAATAGTATTAATGATAAAGATAAACTGTAAACAGCAAATATGTTCAGCAAAGTAAGATCTACAAATAAGTTAATTTGACCAAAATTGTCAATTGACCCCTTAAAGAGTTATTGCCCTTTAAGGACAATTTTTCACAATTTGTTTATCATGTTTTCTAACTTTAAAAAATCTTCTCCTCTGAAACCACTGAACCAATTCCAACCAAACTTAAGCTGTATGATCCTTAGAGTATCTAGAATAAAGTTTGTGTTTTATTTTCTGTTTCGTCAAAAAACATGGCCACCATGGCTAAAAATAGAACATAGGGGTAAAATGCAGTTTTTGGCTTATATCGGAGTTAGAACAAATATGACATGAGGTTAAAGTGTTCATTAGCTGAAGTTCTATCAGCCTTGAAATTTTCAGACGAATCTAACAGTCCATTGTTGGGTTGCTGTCACTAAATTGGTAATTTTAAGGGATTTTGCAGTTTTTGGTTATTATCTTGAATATTATTAATGATAAAGATAAACTGTGAACAGCAAAAATGTTCAGCATAGTAAGATCTACAAATAAGTTAATATGACCAAAATTGTCAAATGTGTCCTTAAGGAGTTATTGCCTTGTAAAGACAATTGTTTACATGTACAATTTGTTCATCTAGTTTGCTTACTTTAAAAAAATCTTCTCCTTTGAAACTGCTGAATCAATTTCATTCAAACTTGGGCTGAATGAGTTTCAGAGTATCTAGTATAAATTTTGTATTTTATTTTCTTGTACGTCAAGAAACATAGCCACTATGGCTAAAATGGAACATAGGGGTAAAATGTACTTCTTTTCTTTTGAAGAAAATATGACAGATACAAAGAACATCTCAATGGAATTTTTAAGACACTCATTAATATATATAAAAAAAAGCAAAAATAATCATTGATGAAAGATTTAAGCAAAAAATAACAGGTGAGCGATTCAGGCTCTTGAGAGTCTCTTGTTTTTTAATTTAGGAACACATATATCTGCCGCGTTCTTTAAGTGGGGGTTATATTGCATCACCTTGTCCGTCTGTCCGCCCATCCGTTTGATCGTCCGTTCGTCAAACAAATATTTTCGAGACACTTTTCTCGGGCACCACTAAAAAAAAGGACTTAATATTTTCTTAGTACCTTGATTATCGTAAGTTGTAACAGACAGAGTGACACTTACTTCTTGTTCGCTTATATCTTTAATATTCCAACATGTTAGTGTTGAAATAATATATCATGTTAATCAAGAGTTTAAATGCCTTGCTTGCAAACTTTGTTTGGTTGTTTGCTCAGACATAGTAATTAAGATTGACACCTAAATTCAATGGGTAGGCGGAGTAACAGTCTGTTTGCTACATACACAGGTTTGATTGGTCAATGAATATCCAAAATTGTTTCCATAAGGCACTTGAAAGATAAAAAGAAGCATGGTCTTAAGGGGGTACAGGAAAGGTAAAGCTAACCAATTATGAAATGGATTAAAAACGTAACGCATGAGCAGATTTAATGTCATATTTTAATTCAAACTATTATAATGTTGACATGAAATATTATTTCTTGTTACTTATTACAGAGACATATAATACATATGTGTCTGCCGGCTAATTACATGAAATTTTGCACTTTAAACTACTGTATATATTCTACAAGAAAAAATAACTTCAGATCACTTTGTTGAAAACTGTACGAGAAATCAGTGGCTCGCAATGTTCTAAGGGTCAATACAGTATAGTCGTTATAAAGGGAATATGACCATCAATATTATAAAGGCACTCTTCGACAATTACAATAATTGTATATTTACTTACTTTTATTTAAGTAATATAGTAATACATTTTTAAAACTCACTCTCTTATTTGCATAGTGCATTAAAATTTGACAATAATGCACTAAGATATGAAACCATATTCCATCCACATTATTAGTTATTTGA